TTTTTGCTGCGTTTAACTGATATAAGGCCCTTAGCTTTATTGCCAGACTTTGTGCAGTCAATTTTGACATCACCGATTTTTCAAAGTCCCCCCGAACCAACCTCCTCCAAAAATTTCTGCCCCCACCCCAGCATCTTCATACCCCCTTCTCCAAATTAAATGGACTTTACCTTATCCACGTTATTTCCGTACAAATATTATCAAAAATAGCCGAAAGACAATCCTGAACAAAGAGCCTAACAACATTCAAAAAAAGCACAAGTATGTTTTCGACTATTGATAACATCTTTCGCAGCCACCTCTTCATTTCAACACACTGTATCTACACTATCCCTTCATAATCAAATCAGCACTCTCAGCCTCCCACAAGTACCTCACTTCAACACCCAAAATCGCTTTTACCTTAAAAAAATGTTACTTCATATCGAATTCTATGAGAAACCAGTTTCACTGATTAACAAACTAAAGACATTATCATTCAATGCAAATGTTACTTGCCTTTCACTGGCCAAGAGCCCACCACGTGACCTGCAAATAACTGCCCACAAATAATGGTGTGCCCATGCGCAATGTTGTTCAACTGTTTTTGGCTGCAAATACTATTCTGCTGATGCGTAAATGAAACCACGCTTTTCTCCTTTTTGCGATCGCTCTTACGTGAAAATGGCAGATCGCTTCGCTTCCCGAAGATATTCCTTAAAAAACAAACTCGGTGATCGAATGATAAAACAATTATTGAACTCGATTATCGCAAAATATCGTAATTTGTCAGTGTCTCGCAGATCAATTATTTCCCTCAGCCTTCGGCTTCGGCAAATAATTGATCTGCTTGCCACTGACAAATCACAATATTTTGCTCAACCTCGTCCAATAAGTAATGGTAACAGGACTGAGTGGAGTCCAATTCGGTCTGTAATCATACGAGTGATTAACAAAATCGGACGACCGCGTAGCGGGAGTTCGATTTGTTTAATCACGAGTATGATTACAGACCGAATTGGACGACACGAAGTTCTGTTACAAATTAATCATAACTTTAACAAAATTTGTGATATAATAGGCAATTTTTAAATCAGAACACAAGAAATTCGAAATTTTGTTTTGCTAGCAGTGAAAAAAAAGAGCCATTTAAGGGCGCTCTTGATGGCGCGTACTGTCCAATTACTTAGGCATGACGCGTACTGTCCTATTAAACTGTCCAGGGCAGTTGATAGTCAATCAGATTTGACAATTTTGTTATAGTTATGATTATTGCTAATTATCTTACCAATCCACGTCCAATATACTTTCCCCTACTATCCCGTGCCTGTGCCGAAAAATTATGTGATTTTCATTGGCTGCAACTTCGAATCAGGTGCAAGTCAGGTTAGATTGTACAAGCAGAAAAAAAGATACTGCGTCAGCAAAGGAGGGAAAAGTAAGGTTACTGCGTAGAGGGCGTTTGAAATTTTGACTGGATAATTCCTTTGTTATTTTGATTCGTTTCGAAAATGTGTGTTGAACCGTGAATAGCTGCACAGAGCATGATTTTTAAACTGTTTAGTAATTTACCACCGAACCAATGAGTTCACAGTTGTCAAACCATCAGGTTCACCATGTCTGGTCGAACCAACCAGTTCACTTATAACCAGACGTAGTTAATCGATAAAAATCGATATCATCGAAATATATCGATTTAATTCGGCAATTAATATCGATTGACATCGGAAATCGATAGAAATCGAAGTCACAGAAAAACTAATTTATCGATTAATATCGATTAACAAAATTGATAACAATCGATAGGAATCGATAGTAATCGATAACAATCAATAAAAACTCATTATCGATTTCTACCGGAAATCGATATTTTCAATCGAAGTCACAACTTTTTTCCTTTATCGATTTCTATCGATTGATATCGGAAATCGATGATCGTCGATGATTGATATCGATTACTATCGATTATTATCGATTATAGGTTTACCTATTAACTACGTCTGGTTATAAACAAAGTTGTGAGTAGTCACTTTTAGACTTATTGAACGAAGAATACACTCGTGAAAAACTATTCAACACGAAATAAATATTGATTGGCAATTTTCACACACTGCAACTGAGAGTACAGATATTGAAAAGTCGAATCAAATTACTCACTCTGTTGAAGCTATCACTTTTGTATCACACATTAGGCTACTATTTTATCGATCCTCACTATGTCGCTTTTACTGTATGTAATATCCATTTTGACATTACATAATCAGAATTTAAATTTCGCTAAATTTAAAGTTTCTAATAAATGCGCGTACGATTTCCAATGTTCTTCTATTCATATTGTCGAGATACAGGGGATAGTATTTGTTAAGAAGAATACCTCATGCTTCACATGGAAGTTTTAATCCTTACGCCATCACTCACAAAGAAGCATACATTACAAATGACACCATATTCCTTGGTAACGTAACTGAAGATAAGGCCAAGGCTATCAGTGAACATTCACAACAGACAACTAAAGATTGAAGACATTTCATAAACTATTGTTTTACTAAAAGCACACTTTCATGCAGGAAAGTACTCATGCGCAGTAGACTGAATTTACATTTGAAATTTTCAAAGACTCTTTAAACTGTACTGATCGCAGTGAGTTTTTTTTCAAAAATTATTTGAGGCTTGTTTTCAGTTATAAAACTATGTTTGGGCTAATTTAAGAGACACTGCAATTCATTTAGATCAATGTCTGCAAATGCTGTATTTAGCGATATATTTAGGTTGAATACGGTTGGTGCAATGACAGAAGAATTGAAATCTCTTTTTCTTACACAACACATGGAGTAATCAATCTGTAGCTGCCGTAAGAC